CAGTTAACGTAGAATATTATGACACCAAAAAACCAAATAAATTCATTTGTAGTCATAGTGCACAAAAACCTAAAATAAGATAAAAATAATTAACTTTTAAGAAAAAAAAAACATTCCTTAGGTACTACATGGGATAGATTTTTTTTTGCATTTTTTTGGAACAGTCTTAAGCTGTGCTATAAGCCATTTCAGTATGATACATTCATTACTGGACACCCTGTATAGTTTCAATAACTACATACGATTTGTAACGCCCATTCCTACTCAAGTTATTTTGGTTCCAATATAAAGACCCATTCCCACAGAGAACGCCACAATCAAATCTCGACTCTCGCAAATTTCTGGTATCTTATCACAATCGTGATGGTAACACCGTCATTCGTTACTTGTCATTTGTTAAAGATGGAAAAGGACATTTGAATTTGAAATTATTATTTCTTAAATTTTTAGGTCATAATTTTAATATCTAAATAAATAAAAAGTTAAAAAACCACAGTCACTTAAGTGTTTAAGTTCTTGGAGTGTTTCTAGCGTTCAAAATGGTAAGATTCTGTATTTGAAATTGAAAATGTTTTTAATTGTACTGTACACCTTACCTACCTATAATTTCATTCCTTTTGATTGAACTATAATTACAAGCACATCAATTTAAAAATAAATAACGAAAAAGTAACAAACTGGTGAATTAAACTAAGCGTAACCTTTAACTAATCAGATTTTAATTATTAAATATTGACAAAATTAACCTATATAAAAATATTGTAGTGAAAATTATTACAAGTGTTTTTTTTTCTAATTTAAACAAACATTGGCTCAACTGTACATTACCATCGCACGAGTTGAGAGTTGAAATTAATATGGTGAATAGATTACATAGTTAGCAGTCTAATCCTAAAATATTAGCTTTAGGAAACTCGTAGTTTTGATAATAAAAATTATTGAAATATTCGAAAATAAGTGATAGGAAACAGGTTTTGTAGGTTAGGAAAGCACAGCGTTTGGTTGTCGCAGTATTTTTTTTGAAATAACGCAAAAAAATAAACGCCGCGCGCGGGTTTACCTCGCTCTTTGGTGCGAAAACATGATTTTTGATGAAATGAAATGAATATCTCGAAAACTATTAACTTCCTAACTTTGAAACTTTACACGAAGGGTCCCCTCCCACCCCTCAAATCGTGCGATGGTAATGTACAGTCCTTCCCAAACATTTGTTTTACACAGTCACGAATTTTTAAAGTAAAATTTATGAAAACGGAAGATAATCACACTAAGAAAACAGGTACCTAATAAACAAAAACTGATAATATGGTGCACGTTTGCGAAGTGCGTTGGAATTATATCGTGTATCTTTCGATTGAGTGTTTCAACATAAATGTTAATTTTCTAATTTCTAGGCACAATCAGTTGATAAACGGGTATGCATAATAGGAGCAGGAATAGGAGGTCTGACATCAGCAAAGTATATGAAAGAAGAAGGCATAAACTTCACTGTTCTAGAAGCGACTAACTATGTTGGAGGGACGTGGCGATATGAACCTAAAATCGGCACTGATGATTATGGAATGCCTATTTATACTAGTATGTACAAACATTTGAGGTAGGTTTTGATAGGTTTTAGTTAACAATACAACCTTATCATCATGTCAGTCTCAAACTAATTACTATAAAATTTTTATTTTATGAATATTTATTTATGACTGCTACGAAAAAGAGATGAGGACCACATTATATTATATTATATTATATTCCTGAATACTTACTAATAAAAAAAAACATATAAATATTATAGCCTTAAGTAGGCAACATGCCATTCACCAAGCACCTTGCTACTTGAAAATCATTTCAACTTTTCATTTGTTTATACTTTTTGTTTAGGACCAATTTACCGAAACCAACCATGGAGCTCAGAGATTTCCCAGCTCCAGATTCGTGGCCTTCCTTCCCAAGCTGGAAATTGTTCTATGAATATATTAAAGACTACGCAAGACACTTTGATTTGGAAAAACACATAAAGGTTCTTAAAGCAACATCTTTTGATCAATTAGAAAGTAAATCATAATTTTGCTTTGAACTCTTGTTCATTATGCAAAGAGGTGCATGGCAGTGCCACACTCAAATCGATTACTAAATTCTAAAACAAATAAAAAATTAACATTAAGAACATATAAAAACATTTCTCTAGAGTGCTAATTTGAATTACAGTTTCTACATATTGTGACTTCAGTGAGGAGAGAAGGAAATGTTTGGAAGGTGAAACATAAACACATTCCAAGTGGAGAGGAATTTGTAGAAGAATATGACTTTGTTGTTGTTGGTACAGGACATCACAGTAAACCTAATATGCCAAACATACCAGGAGAAAGACTTTTTAATGGTAATTTGCACTTGCCTGCTACTAGTGTTTTCTACTCGCCTAAACATCACTACAATGCACCTAAAACTTTCCAAAAAAGTCATTGAAAACCAAAAAACAAACATCTACAACAGACACACAAAAATTCGTAAGGTCTGCTGGTTCGTTCTGTGGCTTAATTGGCAGAGCATCTGGCACGGATGGCCTGGGGGGTGCTGGTTCGAATCTAGCCAGATCTAATGAATTTTTCTTAGTCTTTCAATCTTAAAATTTCTTAATTATCCAACATTTACAGGTACAATAATACACAGTCACGACTACAGAGTACCAGATGCTTACAAAGACCGTCGAGTACTCATGATAGGGTCAGGTCCTTCAGGAATGGATATCAGTTTGGATGTAGCTGAAACTGCAAAAACTTTAATACATAGCCACCATTCTGTAGTGAACTTTAGAACACCATTTCCCGCAAATTACATCAAAAAGCCTGATGTGAAAGAGTTTAATGAGAATGGAGCGATTTTTGTGGATGGGACCTATGAAGATCTTGACGACGTTATATATTGCACAGGTTAGACTAAAATACGTAGCAAACAAGGATTTATAATGCAGCTCTGTAGAACCAAGTTCAGTATCATTTGAAAAAATGTGGTACTGAAATAGTCACAATTTTTTTTTAATGTGTACCATGTTTATTTTATTTAATATGTGTTATTTAGAATTCAATGATGTGATGAGGTAATCACTTGATTTGCATCATTTGCGTCGTTATTTACACATAGTATCAATTGTCCCACCAGGGTAAAAACCCCCACCCAAAAAAATTATAACAACAAAAATTATCAATATCACAGGTTACTAGGAAAATACTCTGCAAACATTTATATAAATATCTGTAAATGTTTAATAAATGGAATAAACAACTTGTCAGACATGGAAGGAGACTGTATGAATGTGAATCGGATGCAATTGATAGTAAGACCATCAAAATGTACTTGTAACAGTTTATTGCACAATATTGGTTACATACAAAACTTTGTCTTCTAAACAAGCCACAAGCTTAAACAATAATAAAAATATTACAAAAAAGCTCATATAATAATAGTTTATGTGACTGTTACATAATGAAAGGCATTAAAATACGAGTGTGGGTTTCATAAAAACATCACACGAGTGTTTTAATGACTAATTATGTACAGTTACATACACTGCTTTATCTGTACACATATTATAAGCTCTTTATGATGTATTCAGGAACCGCATGTTACGACTGGCGAAATGGCGGCAATCTTTTCTCACGCATGTCCGCAACCTCAGTTTCTTAAACAAACTAGAGTCGGCCTCAACTATCATATCGTTCGATATCAAGTAACGTGTGAAATTTGTCAAAATTGTTTGTTATTGACATTTCATTTCGAATAAAACTTCATCTCGACTGATATTAGAATTGAGGTAGAATCAAATTGTTTTGTTTTTCAGACATGTTCGAAATTTGAATGTGGTAAATAAAATCGAATTTGATGCTAATACTAAGCAATAATAACATTTTCACACTTAAGAGGGAGCATAGGAAAAATTCATAATCTTCGATTTCATTTTAGAGAGGTATATCCACTTTAAAGTTAAAAATAAAATATTGTATGAGTAACTACACGATATATTCAAGCATAGACATTAATCAGAAACATAAAACAATAAAGTTTCCTCGATAGATAAAAATCACGAAATGACCTCTAATTTTCACATTTTTTCGATTTATCCTCGAAATGCTATAGGTTATTAGGACAAAAATTAGATAATTAATTATATTTTTGCATGATCGACAACTGTCACTACGGATTTTTTTTAAATCCCTTTAGTTTTAGAGTTTCCGCTAAAACGAATTTGATACTTTTAATGAGCAAAATTCAACATCTCCTGTCGCATGTCACGCGAACTTCAGGCATATATTTGTTTCACAAATTTGGGCGGAGCCAACGTCAATACTTTTTTGGCATGAAAGCATGAGGGGCATTTTTAGAAGAATTTGTTATCTTTATGCTGGTCGCAATTTGCGGTTTTCGAACACATCATAGAGGGTTTATGTTGTGTGTAGATAAAATTCAGTTTTTTATTCTTTTTTATTATTTAATATATTTAAATATATTAAATTTAGAACATATGTATAAAATATGGGTACAACTATTCTAAAGGTATAACATTGACTTACTAGGTCAATGAGTACAAATAAATATTAAAAAAATTTGTGGTAGTCTTCAGTCATAATAAATCTGCCTATGCATGTTTTTAGGTTTTGAGTACGACTATCCTTTCATAGACGAAACAAGCGGATTGACGCTCTCAAAGCGTAGTTTGACTCCGTTACACAATTACATGGTGAACATACACCAACCTACTATGGTTTTCATGGGACTCCTAGTACGAGCATGTTTAGTAATCGCTATTGATGCACAGGTTCGTATCTTTCTACACATAAAAAATAATTCTGTACAGTAGCATAGGCGCCAAGTTCTTGAAACGAAAGGCGTTCTTGTCTATTTTATAATTTTGCTGACACCTAGTATCTATTGCATGACGTACATAACTTTGTTTTTTTTAGTCTCAGTATGCAACTGCATTATTCAAAGGAAATTTCACTTTGCCAACCAAAGAAAAAATGTTAGAAATTTGGCAGAAACGAGTTGAAGCTATCCGATCTAAAGGCAAGCCTATTTCACATATACATTTCGTGGACCACTATGAGGTAATATTGTATTTAAAATGTTTCAACCCTACAGTAATATTAGTAAAATGCGAGACGCATGCCATTAAAGTGTCTACTAATAATATATGCATATAAAGTGTCCATATTTACATTAGTAGGTACGTATTTGTATTTGGCAGCACCGCTTATATAGGTTGTCTCAAAAATCATCGATAATACGGACCAGAACCGGCCCAATTTATAACAACCCTGAAAAAACATATTTAAACAAAATAAAAGTCATTTTTTGCGAAATAAATATTCTATTGAAAAATTTTAAACGTCCTGGTACCATTACCATGTTTAGAAATTAGAAATTTGCGAATTTTACTTTCAAATTTTTTTTATTATAATGATAATCCCGAATAAATACCTACAGCGACGTAATTTTTCAACATAATGCTCATTGCACAGGAAATTACTCCGATTTTTTAAAATATTTTTTTTCAGGGTTGTTACGAACTGGGCAACATTCTGGTGCCGGCTTATCATTGAATTTCGAGACACCCTGTGTATTTTACTTGTTAACAAACTGCTTTTGTTATCAAGTTGAATTGAACATGTAATTTAGATAGTGATGATATATTTTTAATGAATAATTTAATTTACAGGATCAATATTACGAGGAATTGACAAGAGAGTCCGGCATACCGAGAGTTCCTCCAGTTATGTTCAAAATACGCATCAAGGACACGGAAGCCAAGTTGGAGAATTTCTATACATTTAGAGATTATGTATATACCATTATAGATGATGAAACCTTTACCAGAAAGTTGGAGAAAGGGAAGTGTAATAAATTGCATTGCGAACCGTAAAACATTTAGTTCCTATAAAAACAATTATTTTTACAATGTAGAACAATAATAGAAATAATAAATATTTACACAACACAATGTACGATTTAGTACATTCGTACGTTATGCCTTTGCATGCAGTTGTGTGTTAAAAACTTGGTTGGCGCACTGTACAACGCAGCCTAAGACCTAAACATCGAAAAGTTCATTCATTCACTATATTTTTTTATAATTTATTATTTGTTAAAAATATAATAATTAATTATTTTTTCAACAATGATGTCAGTGACAAATATGATATTATTAAGAATTTTAGTAGCTGTAATAGCTTAGACAATTATATTTAAAACTTGGCTTGAAGTGTTGTCTTTATTGAGTATTCCTACACCTTAAAATATTACGTAATAAACCATAATAGGTAATATTAAATTTAATGTTATTTCTATCTTAATATTTTATACACTTAAAAAAAATCTTAACCAAAGGCAAGGTAACTAGAGTATTTAAAGTATTTTTTACAAATGTTAAAGAAATGGCGCCTTTAAAATAATTACATGTCCACAATTTTTTTCAAATTTATCAACTTACTCACATACACTCGTACATGCTTTAGTCGTATCTACCGATATCACAATTGCGTCTAAATTTCAATTGGGCAAGGATCGTCTTCTCTATAATTGTACCAACGTTCATACTTGTAATCGTTTAACAATTTGTAGTCATAATCTCTGTAGTTAAGTAAGTCTTCTAAACGAATTTTCGCGTTGAAGTCCCTGATTTCTGTTAAGACAGGCGGTACGCGAGGTATGGAAGCTTCTTTGGTCAGGTTCCCGAAGTATTGGTCCTGAAAATAATTTGAGTTAGATTAGGAGGATGTACAGGTTTCACAATCCATTTAGTTCACTCAGTTGGCGCCACCGGCAATAACAAAAATGGCGTTTTCCCAACGAATATCAGTACTGTCAAATAAGTGTTTTTGGGCCGTTTTACCTACTATTTGGCGGATATAATTATAACTATTAAAATTTGTGGAATTATCTATTTGCCAAGTTTCATTGAAATCGCTAAGAGAAAGTGGGTGAAATCCTGTAAATCATAATCATCCCCTAATTTGCCACAATTAGAGGTGGAATATTTTCTTCGAATTTGAATGTGACCACTACACAGAAAAGTTATCGAAATCGGTTCACAAATGTCAGCGTAACATACAAAAAAATTCAGTCGAATTGAGAATCTCCCTCTTTTTTGATGTCGGTTAAAAATTAGTATTACAACCAGAAAACATAAGTAAAAAAGAAATTTCACATTGATTTACGATAATCCAGCACGTTCAATAGTTATTTTGGGCATTTTCAAGTCTACATGTATAGTGATTGTGTATTGTTGCCACCTATATCTAACGAAATGGCGGAACCTGAAGTGATAAACAAATTTTATAACGTACCTGTTGATCGCCAATGACATTGATATCTACAAGTTTCATTCTCTTAGTAGGTAATGATTGCGCGTGCTGCACCCACTTCTTAAGCATCTCCTCTTGTGATGGCAACTCGAATTTCTTAGCTATCAATGCTGCTACGTATTGTGCCTGAAACACCGTAAAATATGTATACCTTATAGATAAATGAAATTCACTCTGGGCCACTCACTGCTTGGAACACCCAGAATAAAACAAATTTAGAAAATTCCAGTTCCCAAACGGTTCTTTCCAGGGACTTGTTAGCATAGAGGCTTAGGAGATGAAAGGAAGTGTAACGAAAGAATATCTTGAAATAGACATAGATGAATGTAACGTTAAAAGATGTTCCATACGCAATGAAACGGCTATTTCCTGAACGCTATAACTTGAGCCTTTTCAAGGCGAGAATGAATGGGCATTATTTAGGCGTACATGTTGTATTAGACTTTATCTTCACTTCCATCAGGTGAGATCTTTTTTTTTATGATACCAAATGACGGGGCGAACAATTCGTGCGCCTGGTGGTATGCTATATGCCTATGCATAGCAGTTATAGTGCCACTCAGGACTTTAAATCGCAACAATGTGAGGGAAACTGTTACTGCGCCCATCACCCTGAGACATAAGTTGACAAGTCCCACGTGCCTGTAATTTCACCAACACCCTTACCCTTCAAAACCAGAACGCAATAATGCACACATTACTGCTCGACGGTAGAAATAGTTAAAGTGACAGTACTTCCCTGGATGTACTCTTGAGATGTAGGTAAAATACTCACTTATTTTTATATAAAACAAACAGAAGAACTTTACTTCAATCGGTGTGCCACATCAATGACCAACTTTCAAAAGTTATAGGTCTTTTTGGAATAGAACTGATACAAAACAAAGCCATTCTTAATACCTGAGCATCAAATACTCTATTGATGACCTTCTTCGAGACTCCAATAAACATCATAGAGGGATGCATAATGTTGACAACATGTTGATATAGCGGCAGCACATACTTTCCGGACTTAGTAATGCCGCAGCTCTTATCTAAAAATGGGTGGTCAAACTCGTATCCTGTAATAAAAAATGCAGAAAAAGATAATTTTCATAGATTATTACTAGAAAAATGAATGTTGGTAGATTGACATCACTTTATAGAGAATGCGGATGGAAGTGTGGGGAGAGATAGATCTCGGCATACATATCTCGATCAGATCGGCGATGTCCTTAACAAAGGCCGGGTTAAAAATAACAAGAATGTATGAAGAGTCTAATGGGAGGACGCGAAGTTTTGTCAGAAGCATCAGATGCAGGTCCATGGTCTCTGCCTAACCTGTTGAGAGACAGGCCTGACGATATCTAGGATGTATGTATTACAAAATCTGTCATTTTTTTATTTTATAATATCAAGTGACGGGACGAACGAGTCGTGCGCCTGATGGTAATCTACACGCCTGTCCATAAAAGTTGCACTGCCACTGCGCCCGCCACCCTGAGGCAAAGAGTTCGTCCACGGAAGTACTGCCACCTTACCTATTTCTGCCGCCAAGCATTGTTAGCATTACCGCGTTCCGGTTTAGAAGGGTAAGGGTGGTGATATTACAGGCACATGGGACTTGTCAACTTTATGTCTCAAGATGACGGACGCAGTAGCAGTGCCCTGCAGATCTTTGCGATTTATAGCTCTGAGTGGCACTGCAACTGTTATGGACAGGCGTGTAGCTTACCATCAGGCACACGACTTGTTCGTCCCGTCACTTAATATTAAAAACAAAGCCTTTCTATTGCATCGATTCGCTTGAAAGTCGCTTTGAAATATTTCGATTCAAGAAATCGTTAGGTCGTATTCACTTGAATCGATTTTCGTAAAAATCGAATCGTAATGTGCTAGTAGTGAAAATCTACAGGATTGCAAGGTGAATATTGTGTGGAATTGCCAATTGGAATCTTTTCGTCTAAAAAATATGTTTTACATCGAAATTAGTAATAGGTAAGTATGGAATTATTCCGAATTCCATATTCGCCGTTCCTGTCCAAAACTGGCGCTTTGGGTAAAAATCCGGCCAGGTTGATTGGGTTATAACCCACTGTCCATCTCTGGACAGGACTGAACCGTGTCGGTTGCTATGCCGAAGTCACTGCTCTTACCAACTGAGCTACAGATCGAGAAGGATTTTTTCTAAATCTGGTTTCATGAATATTTAAACTAAAATCTCACCTGTGCAAAGAATGACATTATCCAATTCTTCAAAACTGTTATCCTCAAAAACGACTCCGTCACTAGTAAATGTTATAATGTCTGGTTTCTTCTTATAATTAGGTCCAAAGTTTGGCTGATTATACTTCAAATGATGGCTATGGACTAGTTTTTTGGTGAAATTGGATAAATGCATTGCCAAGTCTAATCCTGAAGGACCTGCGCCAACGATGAGAACGCGACGTCCTTGATATTTCTCTGGTTCTCTGTAGTAGTGACTGTGGATTATAGACCCTGAAAAGAAAGAATGTTGATTTCTTTTGTTTTTTTGTACGAAAATAATCGTATTTGGGAGAAATATTTAAAGTCAAACCCTGTGTCGCGGGTGAGTTCGAACTATTATTTCATGTAAATTATTGTAAAATTACTAAATTACTTAGAGTAAATTGTTATATTTTTTTTACATGGCTCTAAAAAAATACCAGAGGCTAAAAATAGACAGTCTTGGGTAATATTAATGAGAGTTGTTATGTACATACACACTAATAAGATTTCATTCACGTGTTCAATTGTAAGACCCAATGTTTATTGGAGTTATTTTATTCTAACCATTGACCCTATCAATTAGTATAATAAAATAGAGCGTGAAAGAATGTTTCCTTTAAGTAAAATGAACTATCTTAAGCTTTTATGGTAATTTCCTTTCATGACCCATTAACTGCCTCTGTGACAGAACGGCTACCGACTGGTCTGCTACGCAGAGGGCTCGGGTTCGATTTCCTGGCCGGGAGAAATATTTGTGTGACCTACATTTATTTCTGTCACGAGTTTGGGTTTTATTAATTTGTGGTTGTCTATGTGTGTGTTCATGGCACCCGCGATACTCGTATTACAATTGGTGATTATTTTGATGAATACAAACAAAAATATTTTGGTTAACCATACAAATACCGCACACTTTGAATGGAGAAAATCTTATTTAAATGCTTAAATGGTTTCCTAATTAATAATTTTACCTTTAAACAGGTCTAGCCCTTGGAATTTAGGAACATAAGGATTAAGGAACTCTCCATTAGCAACGATAACGTAGTCACAAGACTCGGTCGCGTTTTCTTTACTGTCCAGCTTAGTATATGACACAATCCAACGTCCAGCTGCCCATTCTACAGATGTTACAAAGGTTTTGAACTGGAATTTAAAAAAAAATTGTTCTAAAATTAGTGCCGCATAATAAAACATATATTACAAATTATGGCATCATTAATTGAGGGGAAAATAGAAAGTAAACGAAAGAGAGGACGACCAAGAACGGCGTACAGTAGAGGTAGACGATTAAACGAAAAGCGCTTAAAAGGTTTACTTTTTATATAAGCACATAAGCATGCTTATCATTTGAAGCGTAAACATTGCTCAGTTAAACTCATGAATTTCATTTTTTACAATGCAACGTGCTGAAGTTTCAAGTCGGGCCACCTATGTTTCCTAAACAAATTAATTTATCAATGTGCATAATTTTACCCCTTTTATTATATTTCTTTAATTTAATACAATAATTATTTTAACACATATAACGGTTTAAAAAAAAACAGTTTAACAGTTAACTTTATTCGAGTTTTTAAGTATATAATAATGTTATAAATAAAAATACTACTCGTATTTTACAAATAAACTAACTTATCGTATAATATTTAGTGGCTTACACGTACGTAATAAAAGATTTTTTAAGCACGCTTATTTAAAAAATCAGATCGTTTAAAATTAATAAGCATTTTTTCCATCCCTAACAACATCAAAGTGAGCAGCTATAAAGTGGTCAAGGAGCTAGCCTTCGAATAATGATGATGGAAGAGGCTACAACGACAACAGACTGGCTCTTAAATAGGACAATGAGTGCGTCATAGCTCCAATACTTAGTAACAATATTGTGAACTCTACACATTCTACACTTGCGTAGAAACTAAACTACACTTATTCGTGAAATCGTAGTAGATTAGTCAAAAACTAATATCGTACCCTATACACCATTATTCATTGAGCACTCAAATTTCCACAAAATTAAATTTAATGAAAATTTTATTTCTAAGCCAAGAGAGGTTATAATTATTTTGAATGTAACTTTTCTATGATATCTACTATATGACAAATCACAAAGATCTGATGGGCACTGCAACTGCGCCATCATCCTGAGACAAATGTTGACAAGTCCCATGTGCCTGTAATTTCCCCAGCATCCTTACCTTTGAAAATCAGAACGCAATGCTTACATTACTTCTTGGCGGCAGAAACAAGTAAGGTGGCAGTAGGTACTTCCCTGGACGAACTCTTTCACAAGGACCTCTACTGCTACGAAAATCTACGTAATATGTTACTGTTAGTGCAAAATTATTCATTTTTTTTAATTTATTTATTTGCATTAGTAGATACGTTATATTTAAAATATTACGCGCACCTAGTAAGGATATAATAACAAATTAAATTAAAAACAATTATATTATAAACAAAAATTAAAATTAATATACAATTTGAATAAAAGAATTAAAACAAAAAATATAATTTGAATACATGAATTAAAATTATTAATAATACAATTTGAATACAAAAATTAGAATTAATAATACAATTTGAATACAAGTTAATGGTTTAAATAAGGAAAGCAATATTACTTAATAGAGTCATCTTCAAAATATTCATTAAACTGAGTAATAGTATTATGATTATTATTTTTTATTAGATTATTATGATTTAGTAATAGTTTGAGTTTATTACAAAATGTGAAGTTTCTTTCTATTGTTTTTAATGCGTCAGGTAATTTGTTATGTATTTTTACAGCTCTATAATGTGGGCTATTTCGATACGAGGTGTTGGTAAGACCAATAAGACTAAGTTTGTATTTCGGCGATCACTTTTAACAAAATCAAAATTATTATTATTTTTCATTACAAATTTTATTGTTTCCATTAAATATATACAAGGAAGTGTGAGTACATGTTCTTTTATAAAAATTGGTTTGCAGCTATTTCTGGGTCGGGTAGTGTTATTTTTAGATTAGATTATATGAATACACTTTTTTGTATAATAAAAAGATCTTTGGCGTCAGTACTGTGGCCCCATAAAAAATACCGTACCGGAGCCAAGCAAACGCATAGGCGTAACAGGCTGTCTGGGCACACTCTACTTGTGCGTTACATTAGTGCATAGATAAACTGTAAAAACATGAAGACCGAATGGTCTTTATGTTTTCAATATCTTTTTTCCAGTTTAGATGAGTATCTATTGTCAATCCTAATAATGTGAAATGTTCTACTTCCTCGATATGTAAATTGGTTGTTATTGATTCTAAATTTATTTTTTTCTTCTAGTACGGTTTGAATTGAAATTATTTATGTTTTTTATTATTTGTTTCTAAGTTATGGTCTGAGAGCCACAGACAAATAGTATTAAAAGTTTCGACAAGTTTTGAAAGATTATTATTATTGGACATTTAAAAAGTAAAGAAATATCATCTGTGAAAAGAATACACAATTGATCAGTTATTTTTGGCAAATCATTAATATATATACACATTCTATAACACTACCTTGCGATATGGAATTGTTTACTGTCAACATGTCTGATCGAGTGTTATCCAAATATTCCATTTGTACACATTGTTTTCTGTCGGTTAGATATGATTTTATCCAACGTACGCATTGCCCCTTACAGCCACACCATACAGTTTTCTAAGCAAAATAGAATGAGAAACTTTGTCATATATGCCTTAGTCAAGTCAAGGAGTAATCCGACTGAGCCATTTTTGTCTTTTATGTAGTTTTAAAGCTTCTTGAACGTACCTGTACACAGCCAGGTTAGTGGATCTATTTTTTCTAAAACCGTGCTGATTATTGTGTCAAACATATAATATTTTTTCATGAAAATTATTAGACGGTTTGTCATTGTCTTTTCAAATACTTTCGAAAATGCGAATAAGAGGGCAATAGGTCGCTATTGGGTTGGATTATCATCTTTGCTACCTTTTTTAATATAGATTTAATCGTTGCTACTTTTACCGCGTTGGAATGTGCCTTCGTCAAAGGGCTGATTTACAAGTTTAGTTAATGGAGGAGTTAGTTTGTAGATACATTTTTTATTGAGAGAGTATTTATTATTCTAGAACAATAAAAAACTATAGGAAGATTATCACCTCATTATCTTCTATGACTAAGATAGAATATTCTATGTTCAATTAATTTACGTGTTTACCACAAGACAAAAATTGTATTTTACAATCAAACAAATAAAACCGACAACAATACAAGGCTGTGAGATATTTTCCTTATGCATGCACGTGAATCATACTATAGAAATAATTGCTTCGATGATTCTATATTTATCTTCTTGTCATCAAAAGATTCTTGTAAGGTAGATACTCGTTATCATTCCTTGAGGCTAAAGCAATATAATTTAAAATAAGAAATCAATTGCATATAAGAAATACGTACTCGGCAGAGCCTCGTTTAGTTCTAATCTAAATGCATTTTATTATAAGAAGAACAAATTGAGTTTTGAACACGCCATCAACCCTGTATGCGTCTCTTTGCTGGGCACGGGTCCACTCTCAGGCCCATTAAAATTACATTATTTATAACAAAATTTACTATAAAGAAAAATTATTCTAAAAAAGAATTTTAAAAAAATGTATGAAGTTAATATAATATTTTTAAACCTAAACCCTTTAGGCCATGGTCCGCCACACTGGCCCCATGCGGGTTGGAGTCACGTTTTTTTGAGGATTGTGAACCTTGTTCGACGTGCAGGTTTCCTTCGCTGAAAATCTCATGGTAAATTTTTACGCTCATAAATTTCAAGAAACTTCTCAGTTTCTCGAAATTTATGTTTCCATCTCGGTGCGAGCCCGAATTTTAAACCCACAGCCTTTGCTTGAGAGGCAGTGTGTCTAACCATTAGGCTACCATTGTTAAACACATATAAAACGCAAACATTGGCTTGTAGGCTTATAACTTAAAACTCACTTGAATACGTTTAACTAAATCGAAGCTCTTGGCGAAGAGCTTTAGATATTTGTGGAAGCAAGTAGCTGTCGGGTAGGAAGGCGTCCCATCAGGGAACGGAAAGCCTGTGTATTCCATCGTCTGTATTGGGGTGTTTGTTCTGGAAAATAAAAATATTAAAATCATGAAATAGAAGCTTGGTTGTTTTTATTTTTTTTGCAGCGTGTATTGCACAAAGCCATCCAAGCGATAGAGCTACGCATCTTCATATTAGAAGTGTATCTCCGTCCCATACAGTAGCTAATTCATCAACTCTAGCTAAACGGATTTGCTGGCATTGATTGGTTTGTAAGGCTTCAATTGACCAGTCCATTTTTGCGTATTACGAGAGCATCGCAATAACACTTTTATAGACACGCACAATGAAAGTATAGCAAACCGCTAAAGATTGTGGTTACATAACCGAGATTCACATGTTCCACGCAGCATGGTAACCGTATAAGTCACTATAAGTTTCCGGAACTGGCCACTTACATAAACAATATTTAAAAAGTAATCACAACATTTGAAAATGGAACTCTTTTATTTCATCTGACTGTCACTTGTTTTTACATTGTGGCGTCAATCAATACTACACAAACATTTGGGTGTGAAAAAGTTGTGCTCTCGATGGATCCCACACAGTTTGACTGAGGCTCAAAAACCGAATCGCGTCACTTGGTGCAATGCCATGCTTACCAGATTCAACGAAGAGGCGTCAAATTTGGTGTGGGACATAGTTACAGGTGGCGAAACATGGGTTTAAAGTTACTTTAAGAAACTTAGTAAGAAACTTATAGTGCGCCACACGTAATAATATATATCTTAAATTGAACGCTCGCGACGATATTTAAAGAACAAATTCATCTATGTACGTACTTACAACGAACTTTAACGTGATAATGTTATTAGTAGAGCCACCGCTTTAGCAACGAAAAGTAGTTTAACATGTCATTAAGAGTGTCTACACACGGCGACTTTTAGCAGCGATGCTAACTCGCGTTCGTGAAACGCGCGATTGCATTGCTGCTACACGCGATTGCATCGTTGCCACGCGGCGCGATAGAAGCGGTCGCTCCGCGCGTCGTCAGCGTTTAAAACAAATTACTTTGTTTTTTTGCGTTACGCTTACTTAATTATGAGTACAGAAGAATTTATAACGGCAGTACAAGATCTGCCTGCGTTGTCGATAAGTTCACATCCATAACATAAGATCAGGACTGTCGTAAAACAATCGTGGGAAGAAATTAAAATTCTTTTTCACGTGTAATGATGACGCGTGATCACAATGAACTGAAGTATTCCTCCCACCACCGAAGAGCGAATTACCAACGTGGGTGTATTTTGACGCTTGAAAATTGACGCTCTCAACGAATATCCCAAGCGTGGCGATATTTTCGTGGGTGAGGCGTAGGTGTAGCGATGCACTCGCGCGCTTGCATCGCGTTTGCTTCGCTGCTTAGAATCGCGTACGATTAGCGACTGCATCGCGTTTGCATCGCAGCGAAAAGTCGCCCATATGTAACCGCTCTTATATGTATAATTAGGGTGGAACCTATATTAAATTTAATTTAACCTACGTACCTTTTGCACCTCATTATTAACACCACGAAATAACAATTTATAAAGTAATTGCGAGAAACCGACAAAAACAATACGTTATATAAAAACAGTAATTTAATAACCGCAGAGCAGGATAATATTTTTATTTACGAAGCACTCAATCCGGATTACGACCTTGCATACGAGATCGAGTATTACCTTCCTTGGAAGTGCCTTCAAAAGTTTTCTTAACACAATACCAACAGGTATCGTGCGGAATACTAACATTATGTAAGTACACGTTGAAGCGACAATGGCAAGCGGAAGTTGCTGCGCTGAGACGTCTTGTAAAAATACACTTAACTCTAACAATATTATTATATAATATGTCTAAGATCGAGCTGTTTTAAACAACGGACTCATGTAACAAATAATTAAACTTAATATAAAGTTGCAAGCCCTGTTTGACTTGAATAAAGCAGCATTTTGTACAGCGTTATGACTTTCGGTGCCATACGACCAACGTATGAATCAATACGGTCCGTTGAAGCCTCTGATGACTAGAAGCCTAACAGCTTTTACAGCTTTTTCCATCATTCTGTTCAACAGTATATACCCACAGCAATCGTGGTAAAATTTTCTATCTTTATATGTTATACCGTAATATCCTCCATTATACGCATATTTGACATTATTTCCTTTATTTAATGCTATGTATGTATTTGTCATTGTCATCACTTTTTTAAGAGATTTCATTAAAAGGAGGAGCGTCTCAATTCAACTGTATTTTTGTGTATACGATTACTACAACATTTGTGAACCGCTTTCGATTACTGTTTTTGTTGTTAAGGAGGTACCCCAGTAGTGGTCTTATTCTTTGAAGAAAATATTCCACCTCTAAGGATAAATCTGGTTTATTGGATTTCACCCTTTTCCATTAACTGATATTCAATAAATTCTTTCAATAAAACTTGGCAAATTGATATAATAGCACAAACACTAAAGGTATATATATAATATAATACAGTCGAACTAAGAAACTCGGCATTACTATGTCGCCATATTATAACAAACTGGTTAGCTCAAAAAACTACGACAAATTATGCAATATGTACTTGTTGCAAACCAGGGCAATCCATGGTTTCTCTTTAGCATACCAATTGCACACGGGTTCGCTTTCGGATGATCTGTGCTGCATTACACAATACTACCTAGGTTTTCCCATTCAGTATTTTGGTAACACGTTCCGTTCCGTAGTGTGCCAAATTTGTGTTACTACTCAATGCATAACGATTAACAAAGATCCGCTTGTTAACTGATGCTCATTAACAAAATATTTTCACCGTACATATAAATTCTAATAACATGTTAAAGTTATGGACTTTGAATACGCAAGCAAATGTTAACATTACTGACCCAGGGATGTAATAGACGCAAATATGTCGTGTGCAATTCATTGGTAAATACATTAAATAACACATATGTATACATATTTACGTAAGTTACTGCTTGGTTCTTATTTTTATCATGTTATGAATGCTCTTCTCTATAGGTACTATTATAATCATAATTGAAATATCGTAAAATAAAATTTAAGTAATAGGTACACGTAGAGTAGACAGTTTTAACTGCCTCCGTGGCCGAACGGTTACCATGCCGGACTGCCACGCAGAGGTCCCAGGTTCGATTCCCGGGCCGGGAGAAATAGTTGTATGGCCTACAATTATTTCTCTCGTGAGTTTGGGTGTAATTTGTGGTTGTCTATGTGTGTGTCCATGGCACCCGCGACACAGGGTTTCCCTAGTACGGGGCTATGTTGAGTGTGTGCGTTATTATTATTATTATAGTAAGTGGATAATAGGATTCTTTTGTAAAATAACCTTTTTAATTTTTTTAATAGTTATTAATTTAATAATCATTTTGCCAACCCAACAACTATCTTCTCAGGTTTTCGTAGGTTTAGTTGGACAAAAATCCCTTTATGAGATAACCTCGCCTCTATACACTAACATTTTTTGTTGTTTCATTCTGTTCTCAAAATCTCGAATTATTTCTGAATGATAAGTAAATCTGAGTTGAAATAATATTTTCTTTTAATCAAATAACGATTATGATAAAAATGGTCAATTTTGGTTTTTAATAACTTAGTCCACATGACGGTATATTCTGGAGACGTTGCAATAATTACACCACTACAATTTTATGTGTCGATAATCACTACATCTTAAGAAAGAAAGGACGTACCTCAGTAGTGATCCCATTCAAATTCGAAGATAATATTTCAAGTATAAGGGTCGCAAATTAGGGGGTGAATCCGGTTTATTGATTTTCACCCACTTTCCGTTAACCGATTTCAATAAAACTTTGTAAATAGATGAAATTCAACAAACTTTTGAAGTCAGTTTTTTTATAATAAATTCTATAACCTAAATACGTTGCATTGCATGTATGGACTAGCCTACTTAATTATTTTAAATTAGTCATTCAATTTGACTGTCGTTACGATGTCTTCTACCTAAAAACTTTTTTTGTATCACTGCAAATGAAAATGATTATGCTTATCATCTTAATCCTTTTGAACAAGATATAAGCGCCAAACTTGTGAACGATACGGGGCAAAATTCGTAATAATTAAATATGAAATATCACCAATGTTTACCGCAATTAAAAAGTAATTTAATTTTCCGCTATATATTTAGATGGAAGGATGGAAAATTTAGATGGACTAGTCTAATTATATTTTAAATTAGTCATTCAGTCAGACTGTCATTACGATGTCTGCTATCTAAAAACATTTTTTTGTACCACTATAAATGAAAATGATTATATGCATGTCATCTTAACCCTCTTGAACAACTTATGAACGATACGAAGCACAATTGTTAATAATTAAATATGAAATATTACCTACATTTACCGCAATTAAAAAGTAATTTTGTTTACCTGCTATACAATTTAGACACTTACCTTAAATACTTGTACATGCTAGTGTAGACCGGCAAACCTTCCTCATCGAACCCAACATGGGGGTCGTAATGCCAAGTACCTCCCACATGCTTGGTGGCTTCAAAGACAACGAAGCTAAGGTCATAGTCCTTGAGGTACCGAGCTGCTGCTAAGCCAGAGTACCCTGCTCCGATTATACAAGTTCTTGAAGTAGGAGGGGCGGGCTGAAAGTCAATAAATTTTTTATTTATTTATTGCATTGTCGACAGAGAATAAACATTTAATTTGATGGTAATGCCCACCAACTTCATATTGTAGCAACTGTGGCGTAATTTGAGACGTTTACCACGTTTTTGACCGACTTCAAAAAAAGGAGGAAGTTCTCAATTCGACTGTATGTATTTTTTTGTGTGTATGTTACGCGATAACTCCGGTATTTATGCACCGATTTTCATGATTCTTTTTTTGTTGGAAAGAAAAGTACCTCCATAGTGGTCCCATAAATTTGAAGAAAATCATCTACCTCTAAGAGTGGCTATTCGCGCATGAAGATTCATTTTTATAAATAAGCGCCTAAATTTTATTATAAGGAGCAATTATTTTAATGGTTGATTTCGCTATTCTCTAATTCAAGGCGTATTCAATTAGATGATGACGACGTCGAGAGGGAACTCAGGGCTTTGGCGGTCCGCGGGAATATGCTGGCCCGCAGGTTTGCCCGCTGTACGGACCAAGTAAAAATTACGCTTTTTAAAGCGTATTGTCAGGGTCTGTACACGGGCGGCTTGTGGTTTAGCTGTTCGCAAAGGTCGCTGAATTCCCTTCGCGTCCAGTACAAGAACGTGTTCAGGATGATGTTGAGACTACCCCGGTACTGCAGTGCCTCTGCAATGTTTGCTCTATCCCATACAAGCTGCTTTAATGCGGTCTTGCGGAGAAAGGTAGCATCTTTGGTTAGTAGGCTCCGAGGTAGTGGCAACAGCATTCTGAGAGTTGTTGCAAACGACCACAGAGCGCCTGTACTGAGGCATCTCGTACGGACAATGATTCCGCGCGAGATGCCTCGTAAGTACATGACATTTTAGTTTCTAAGTAATTTATAATTATAATTTCATGCTAACAATCGTCTATAAGTTTGTTTCTTTATTTTTACTAACACCAATGGATCCTGTTATCTGAGAAATAAATAATTTGAATTTTGAATTTGAATTTGTATTTCTCTCTCAATATACTTTGAGTAGTGAGAACCAATTTTTATTATCTCCTGTGTCAAGTTCCTTATAGTGGCGAACTAAGGGATGAATCCGGGATTGCGCACTTTCCGATAACCGGTTTCAAAAAAACTTGGCAAATAGATGTAATTCCACGTACTTTTGAGGTCGGTTTTTTAGTACTCTGTACTGAGATTGTGGTGGAATGTTCTCGGACCGAGAGACTTGAGATAATTGGGCAGAGTGGCCAGCACACTAAGAAGTATAATTTTTATCTATTCATTATTTTACATAATTTCCCCTTATATGTATAAAAACGAAACTTTCACACACATATTTTTTTATAATTATATCAAGTGACGGGACGAACATGTCGTGTGCCTAATGATAAGCTTACATGCCTTTTGTGTGAAATCTTTATAGATGCCCCTGAGCATAGGAAGACTCAGGGGTTATGTGGGGACTCTCCCTCCAGACTGGAGGGCCTACCCCACTACAACCCCCCCGGGTTTACCTCCCGCCGGTTGAGTCGGCGCCGTGGGGTGTCGGTGCACATTCACCACGACTAAGCAACGTAACTGCCCATAACAATTGCAGTGCCACTAAATCGCAAAGGTCTGAGGGACACTGCTAATGCGCCCGTCACCCTGATACATGATGAGTTGACAAGCCCCATGTGCCTGTACTTTCACCAGCATCCTCACCCTTCAAAACCGAAACACAGTAATGCTGGCATTACTGCTTGGCGGCAGAAATAGGTAAGGTGGCAGTACTACCCTGGACGAACTCTTTCACAAGGAGCTCTACTGCTACTAAAATTCCACAAGACTCCGCGTATAATGCCTTGATTGTCACACATTTTGTGGAACACGTTCCTGGTTCGGATTTATTTAATCTTGCTTGTTCAATGTTTGTTATTTGTTTAGTATGTATCTATTTGTATTTATCTGATAAATAATAATAATAACGCACACACGCAACATAGCCCCGCACTAGGGAAGCCCTGTGTCGCGGGTGCCATGGATACACACATAGACAACCACAATTTACCTACACCCAAACTCACGAGAGAAATAAATGGCCCAGGAATCAAACCTGGGACCTCTGTGTGGCAGTCCGGCATGGTAACCGGTCGGCCATGGAGGCAGTTATAAAAAAAGTTTTAAAAAAGTTTTAAAAAAGTTTCAATATTATACATGTAAAATGTGCAATTTAATTGCCCGGTTGACTGTACAAATTCCGTCATTTACAAAATCTGCCATTCACCGAATAAAAGATCATTGCTTCGTCGAACAAAGTCAAGATACTGTACAAAGTACATTTAAAGCGAAGTATCTCAATGCGAGCCTAGATTTTGGACGTGCGGGGTCACCCCTCGCGTCCTGCAATCCGCGCGCTGTAAATTAATATGAATAAAATAAGAACAGGCGACGAAAATTTGACACAGATCCAACATCGACAAGCGCCCGATCGCCACTGATGGGGTAGCGGGTGGCGCGCCTTGTCGTTAAACCGCTGGGTAATTTGCAAATTTTTGAGGCAAATATGAATTTAATATCTAATAATGCTTCAGATGAAAACCAAAATTTTGCAGGTTCTGTGTAGTACCTACTTAAAGAAAACAAAGAAATATCTCCATATAAAAATTATGTACAAAATTAGATATTTTAATCTTAAATAATTTGTTTTAGTCGTCATTTATTTTAGCCTATTTTCAGGATTTTATACGTTCGGATAAAGTATATCCTATCATGTAACACATTAGCACATTCTTTAGATAATATCCTTCGGTGTACCAATCGTATATTTTTTTGTAAAACCTTTATTTATTAGTAAATATCTAAACCATTTGATGTTGCAAAACAGGTTTTTCCTCTTCTCCTTCGGTGAATCGCCTTAAGTAGTTTAATGTCCACTTGCACTAAATTTAAGTACCTCTTAAACCAATGTTGCAGTGCAAAAGACACTCTTAATGCATTGTCTTATGATTATTTTATCGGCATCGGTTTATGACATACTTAAGTTTAGTGCAAGTGGACATTTAGTTAATATAAATTCTCCTATCCAGCAGCGGATTTTATAATACTGGTGTTTTTTTAATATCTCTCTTGATTTGTTTATCAAGTGGCCCCAAGTTTGAAAAAGATTGCAATAGGGATTGCATCCTGTCATTGGACTTCGTTTTTTATGTTCAATTTGTTTGTGTCTGTAATTGTGTTTGTTAAGGATAATTTTCATGTAATTTCCGATGAATCTATTAAATAGTAGTTATAATACAGCAGTATCATGGTCACTTGCCCGATTTTCACCTTACATCACACGCACGCGCATCAAAATGCGCACGCGTTCGGTATAGTTATACCCTCGCTAAGTACTCGATAATGGTACTCTTGTTTCCAGCACACGTCTGGGAAAAATACTCGTATACCTAAATTAAACGTGATAAGCAGTATTTTTTGCTTAAAGAATTACCTACCTCTATAGGAAATTTAATTAACGAAGACTACACAGCATAATGTAGTTATTTATTCTAAATTTTAAAACATACTCATTACATGAGGGGCGCATATATTTTAAAATATTTAACGATACCGAAGTTGTTACGATAATAATAAATATTAGACAACATCACACGCGTTGCTTGTATCCCAAAGCAAATTAACTAAATCATATGTATTATGGAAATCAGAAACCACGACGATATCGCAAACATCCAGACTCGAGAACATAATAGAAAAGTAAGTTTTCTACATTGACCCGACCGGGGATAGAACACGGAACCTCGACACCATGAAAACCTGTATGCAAGCCACTCGACCACGGAGGTCGTCAAAATAATATCGTGTAAAAGTTTAAAGAGAACATCCAGGGAAATACTGCCACCTCGCCTATTTCTGCCGCCAAGCAGTACCGGTTTTAAAGGAAATTACAGGCATATAGGCCTTGTCAAAGTGTCTCAAGGTAACAGTCGCAGTGGCAATGCCCCTCACATCTTTGCAATTTAAGGTTGAGTGGCACAACAAATGTTGTCGTCCCGTCACTCGGTACCATAAAAGAAGAAGTAAAGTAAAGCATACACAGTGAGTTGACTCAGTACAAAAACCAACGTTAAAATGCTTCGTAACATTAGGTACATGTTCGTAGAAATAGAATTCATTTTACAAGGTTATGATGAACACTTTAGAATGAACTTTTTTAACGTAACTTCACTAATGCCATTCTTTCATGAGGGGTGCGATGTATTAAGTATAACAGAGTTCTTAAAATGATAGGGGATAGGTGGGACCCCCGATCTGCTTGCTAGATTCACCGAGCTTAACGTCCTGGGAGATCGGTGAATTTAGCAAGTATCATGTACCTAATGATTTCATTCACGTAATCAATCCAATTCAATTCAATTCAATTCATTTCATTCATTCATTCACTTTATTCTGTAACTGATAGCTTGTAGATGTACTAACAAAAATTTATTTTAATTTTATTTTATTTATTATAATATTATTAAAACATCAGAAACAACAACTTTTGTTCCATTACTTTTTACAAAACATAATAAATTTACCAAAAAATAACTTTTAAGGTTTTTTTGTCCTATCTGACACTTTTTAGATCTGTATTTTTTATAAGTTGTGTAACAACGCCTCCCGCGTGCTTTCGTTTGTTGCAGAATTATCACCTGCGATAGCGATCTATTTAAATAATTTTATTTTTGTACGAAAGTAAAAATTGGTGAATTATTAAAAATCATGGAACAAATTTTGTTGTTTATGATGTTAGTGATACAGTCCTTAGAGGTTCTCAGTATTTTAAAAATAACCATATTGCATAATATGTTTACGAGTACATTACTCGTATTAATTACAATATGCACTGTACATTCTTAGTAAATCAGTAATGATAATTCTGTTCCACGTTCGAGAGCGGGTTAGCCTTGTGCTAACTGATTTGAATTTAACGTTTACTGCATTTTATATGTAAATAGGTATTTGAAAATTATAATTGATAGACATGTT